TCTCTCTCTCTCTCTGTCCCCCCCCACCTCTCACTCTCTCTTTAAAAAAAAAAAAAAAAAAAAAATTTCATAAGGGAGAATACCTTGAATTTTTATTTTTCTCTTTGAGAGATTGTATTTAACTATCTTTTATAAAACATAAGCCAAATGAAATCCCACATATTATCTCTGATATTTTTTCTTAAAGTGTAAAGTGATATATTTGTTACAAACCTTAAAAAGATTAAGAAACTATTGATGTCATTTCTCCTGTCCCCAGTGTTTTGTTTTTCTTAAATATTCTAGTCCCAGGATTTAGGTTTTTTGGTTGGTATGTCACAAGTTTGAAAATAAAATCTTTATCCAGAGATGTAAGTTGTTTAACACACTCAAATTAATAAACATAATTCATCACCTAAATAGAATTAATGACAAAAATCACTAAGTCATGTCAATAGATGCAGAGAAAGCATTTGACAAAATCCAGTACCCATTCATGATAAAAACACTGAAGAAAGTAGGAATAGTATGAATTTACCTCAACATCATAAAGGCTATATATGAAAAAACCTAAGCCAACCTCATAGTAAGTGGAGAAAAACTGAAACCCTTTCTTTTAAATCTGAAATAAGATTTTTAAATCACCACTTTTATTGAACATAGTGCTTGAAATTCTAGCCAAAGCAATTGGACAAGAGGAGTAAATGAAAGGACTAAAAATAAGAAAGGAAGAAGTCAAATTGTCACTGTTTGAAGATGAGATACTTTTATACTTAGAAGATCCCCAAAACCCCAGCAAAAGACTACTCCGACTACTAAACAAATTCAACAAAGTATTAGGCTACAAAATCAACACACAAAAATTAATAGATTTTCTACACACAAATTGAATCTGCTGAGAAAGAAATCAGGAAAACAGTACCATTTACAATTGCCTAAAAACAAAAACAACCTAGGAATACTTCTGGCCAAGGAGGTAAATAACCTCCACAAGAAAACAATACAAAAGTGAAGAAAAAAGTTGAACGAGGTATAAGAAAATGGAAAGACCTCCCATGCTCATGGATATAAGCAGAATTAATATTGCTAAAATGGTTTAATTGGCTTAATATTGCTAAAATAGCTGGGCATGGTGGCACATCCCAGTGTCTCGAGTGATTGAGACAGAGGATCATGAGTTCAAAGCCAGTCTCAGCAACAGCGAGGAACTAAGCAACTCAGTGAGACCCTGACTTTAAAATAAAATACAAAGTAGGGCTGGGGATATGGCTCAGCTGTTGAGTGCCTGGTACAAGAACAAAGAAAAAATGGCAGAATTAATGAAGGCAATATGCAGATTCAATGCAATCCCCATCAAAACAATAATGACATTCTTCACACAACTAGAAAAAATAGTCCTAAAATTTACTTGGAAAAATAAAAGACCCAGAATAGCCAAAACAATTTTAAGTCAAAATAAGAAATGCTAGATGCATTGCAACACCTAATTTCAAATTATACTACAGAGGGATAGTAACAAAAACTGTTTGATACTGGCACAAAAACAGACACATAGACCAATGGATAGAATACACAAATATAAACCCACTCATCTACAGTCATCTGATCCTTGACAAAGGTGCCAAAAACATACATTGGTGAAAAGACAGCCCCCTTAACAAACGGTGCTGAGAAAATTGGGTATCCATATATAGAAAATGAGAATAGACCCTTATCCCTCATCCTGCACAAAAATCAACTCAAAATGGATCAAAGACCTAGGAATTAGGCCAGAAACTATTCAGCTCCTAAAAGAAAACATAGGGTCATCACTCCAGCATAGAGACAGGCAAATACTTGCTCAATAGGACCCCTAAAGCTCAGGAAATAATACCAAAAGTTAATAAATGAGGTGGCATCAAATTAACAAACTTCTGTGAAATAAAGGAAACAATTAAGAACATTAAGAGGGGCTAAGGTTGTGGCTCAGCGATAGAGTGCTCACCTAGCACGTGCAAGGACCTGAGTTTGATCTTCAGCACTACATAAAAATAAATAAATAAATTAAATAAAGAATTGTGTCCATCTACAACTAAAAATTAAATTTTTAAAAAAAGAACATGAAGAAAGAACTTACAGAATGAGAGAAAATCTTTGCCAGCTACACTTCTGACAGGATTAATATCTAGAATGTATAGCAAATTCAAAAGAATTAACAATAAAAAGACAAGTAACCCAATTAAAAAATGATCAAATGAATTAAACAGACATTTCACAAAATAATAAATACAAATAGCCAACAAGTATATGGAAATATGTTCAACATCATTAGCAATTAGGTAAATGCAAATCAAAACTACATTGAGATTGCACCTCATACCAGTCAGAACGGCAGTTATCAAGAATACAAGAAATAATACTGTCATGTATATCTAAAAAGAACAAAAATTTAAAAAAAGGAAAAAATAATGCAAGCAATTATAAATGCTGAAGAAGGTGTGAAGAAAAAGAAATACTTTACACTGTCGGTAGAATTGCAAATTAACACAACCACTCTGAAAATCAGTATGGAGGTTCCTCCAAAGAATAATCATGGGATCACCGTACAAACCATCTATAGTACTCTTTGGTATTTATCCTGAACAATTAAAGTTGTCATACTGTAGTAATACATGTATACCCATTATTTTGATGACAGCACAATTCACAATAGCCAAATTATAAAACCAGCCTAGGTGTCCAACAACAGACAAATGGATAAAGAAAATATATATATACACAATGGAGTTTTATTCAGTCATCAAGAGGTCAAAAGTAGGTCATTTGCAGGAAAATGGATGGAACTTGAGACCATCATGTTAAGCGAAATAATCCAAAGTCAAAAGGTCAAGTTCATATTTTTTTTCTCATAAACATGGAAATTAGAGAAGACAAAGGAAAAAAAAGGTGGGGAGTGACAGCATGAAAAGCAAAGGGAGATATTAGACAATTATATTATTGTAGTATGTGCAGGAACGAATACAAAACAACAAATCCCACCATTATGTACAACTATGATGCACTGAGAAAAAAGATAAGAAAGCCTGAGAAAATACCAGAGACAAAGGAGTTCTTCACTTAAATTCATTTTTTTAAAAAATGTCTTACTAACAGATACGTTTAAATGTAGGATCAATGGGTAATCTCTGCCTCTTCCTTTCCCTCCAATTTCATTCAACATTTAAACTCTTTCTAAGCTTGTCATCAGCATTATTCTCCTAGGCTTGACAGTGTTGACTTTGTTGGGAATTTTCCTTTTCCTTTACTGCATTTTAAAGTCAAATTATAGGATATATTCAGATGTATACCAGAGTATGTATTTTGTAAAATGTTCTGGATTAAAGATTTGTTTGTAAATTATCCACTGTTTTTCAGTATAGCTGACAGATGTGACAAAATTTTCATTTCCTTACCATGAAACCTTGATGATCAACATGGGGAAAGCTGATATTGTAGATCTTTTAGTGAATTTTAAAAGTACAAAATAAAGCAACCAAGTTTAAATAAAATTATATAGATATGTAAATATCTTACAATAGTAACAAAAACACACCAAAGTAAAAAATTGGCTGAATAATTTGGCATCATGCTATATAACTTTGAAGACAACAGGGATATGTGTCATGTCTATTTATTGAAAAACATATATATAAAAGAATAATTTTGCATGGAAAATATCAATAGAAATAGTGAAAACAGACAAAAGAATAGAGTAAAAAAATAAACACAGCTGATTTAAAGTTGTACAAAGTAGTCATTGTCTTTTCTTTAATGTGGTTCAAATTCATAGTGAAATTGAATTTCCTGTTTTGGAAATGGTGCTGTTTTCCCAATTCTTCCTGAGCCAAAACTTTAAACAACATCATGACTTTATTTTCTTGTAGATTAATTCTCAGAACATCATAATATCTCTCTTCAAACATTAAAAAAAAAAAAAAAACATTCAAGGGTGGTGAACCAATAAGTAGTTCCTGCTCTGCACACAGCTCCAAAGGTGTAGTAGGCCCCAACCACTAGAGGAAGAAGGAAGTTCTAAGATGTTAAATACTGAGGCCAGCTTCCCTAGGTAAGCTTAGTGGTCTGACTTTCCAGTCAACATGAAGGCTTTTCTGATTCTGGGGCTTCTTCTCCTTTCTGTCACAGTCCAGGGCAAGGTCTATGGAAGGTGTGAGTTGGCCAGAACTCTAAAAAGACTTGGAATGGATGGCTACCATGGAATCAGCTTGGCAAACTGTAAGTTGGGTCTTCCTCATTGTTTTTACAATGATTGAAAACATCATTTTGGTCCTCTAGAATTAGATACTTGCTGAAGGGATGTGGGTATTATTCATTTTAAGTTGATTAATCTTCATTTTCTTGCACAACATTCAAAACATGCCATGACGAAAAGTTATTGTATAGCATATTCCTTATTCTCCAATCTCTGTACTTTTCAGATTGACCCCAAACACTTCCCCTTCCATAGATATTTGTAAATGAATGAACAAGTAAGTACATGAACAAAATCATAGAATATGCTTTCCTATTCCATAATTCTTGGTTTCAAGATTCAAAGTTAACATCCAAATTCACCTTTAGGTATTACAAGAAAATCACTCTCAGAAAAATCCTTAAATGTTTCTAATAAAGCATTTTCCCATCAGCTGTATATCTGCTATGAATTTGTACAACCTTCTCAACAGCTCCATTTTCTGTTCTAGGCTCAGTATTGTCTGAGAGATGAGAACAAGTGGAAGGCAAAAGCAATGGAAAAATAGCAATTTAAAGATTTTTAAAAGTACCTTACCTTGCTTCACATTCTTATAAACTGATTTGAGCTACAAAAGGATACTCCTAGGGACCCTCTATAACAAAGGTGTTGAGGCAGGCAGGAATGGTGGCTCAGACCTGTAGTCCCAGCTACATGGGAGGCTGAGGTGGAAGGATCACATGAGACAGGAGACCACCCTGGGAACCCAGTGAGACCCTGTCTCAAACTAACCTGTTACTGATATTTTATCAATTAAACACATCTTGTACTTACAAAGTAAGTCGATAGTAAAATACAATTAGTTGCATAGAATTGATTTTGATACACAGTACATAAATCAGTTGGTGCTGCTATTTATTACAAAAAACAATTTTTTTTCAGGGGTGTGTCTGGCCGAATGGGAGAGTAGTTACAACACCAGAGCTACAAACTACAACCCTGGAGACCAAAGTACTGACTATGGGATATTCCAGATCAATAGCCACTACTGGTGTAATGATGGCAAAACCCCAAGAGCAGTTAATGCCTGTGGTATATCTTGCAATGGTAAGACTAGATAATATTTGAGTGATGGCACAAGAACTACCTGCATATATTTACAAGAACAGACATTCAAACAAATCAAATAGCCTTGAAGGGTTTTTGTCAGGGAGCTAGAAAAAGTCCATCTCAACTTCTAGAAAGTGATTGTTATCCTCAAAATTCCCTGAATAGAAGCAGAGCTGGGGATTTAGCTTAGTGGTGGAGTGCCTGCTCATTTATTGTTAATGGCCTTATTGAAGCTTTTCTAAAACTTTGCCATTCCATGTATTCCCTGAGAATGGCTTAGGGATCTATTAATTGTGTAATCCTTTTGATTGTTTTATGCGTTATTATAAAAGGTCCTATGTATGTAGAAAGTTAGATTTTCATATAATGAATACCCAGATGACTGTACACTTTCAACAATAATTAACATATTTCCATAGATTCTTATTGTATGTATATATACATTTTGCTCAGAGATTTTAAGGTGAATTAGAAATGTTGATATTTTATTTCTAAATCCTCTAGCTTGAATCTCCAAAATATACAATTCCTAAATAATCATTATCACACCTAAAACATTACCTCGTATATTTATCTACTTGGGATGAAACATTGTGTTTTAATAAGAAAAAGAACTCTCGAGGTTTTTTTTGTTACATTTATAAGGTATGAGAGTATTAGACTCCTGAGCTCATGAAAATAGAAATAGCATGTACAAATTTTAGTGTGTAAAATAGTGCATACATATTGCAGACTTGATATTTTTAAAATATTAAATGTTAAAATTCCCAAGAGAAAATCAATTTTATAAAATTATTTTTAACTTAGCTGATTTACTTAAAAATTGCTTTTGTATTGTATAATAATGTATGGTCATTGAATAATATTTAGAAAAATATAAGCAAGATGAAATAGCATGCACAGTCTTACTACCCAGAGATTTATAATCATGGATAATTTTTGGTGCATACTCTTTCTGAATGTATTTCAACATGTAAAGTTTTATGGATACATGTACGGAGTTTCAATATATTTCTCTCTCTCTCTCTCTCTCTCTCTCTCTCTCTCTCTCTCTCTCAATTCTTTTTAACTTTTTTGCATATTGCCACTGAGACATTTTCCCAGACCTTTTCTTATTTCTTTGGGATATAACATCAGTGGTAGAATTGCTGAGTAAAAAATTTCAGGGCATGTATTTTTTCACAGTGTGCAAAGTGGACTTTCTTCCATATTAATTAATAATTCCAGGCCTCCAACAACTTTAGTAATTGAGAAACACTGTGTTATTTCACGTCAATAACAAAAAAAAATTAAGAGGAAGTTTTCCCAACAAACACAGATATGTAAATTCTTGGCTTGATATGCTTTCCTCTGCCTAACAAAATAAAACTGGCTAAGTGTAAACTTCCAAGGAAATTGTTAGATCATCCTTTTCATGCCTCACCACCTCTCTTCCAGTTCTGTTGCAAGATGACATCTCTCAAGCCGTAACTTGTGCAAAAAGGGTTGTCCGTGACCCACAAGGCATTAGAGCATGGTATGTTTTAAGGTTTGAAAGGGGAAACTGTTTTACTCTACTGTTGATATATGCAGTGAGAGAAAAATTCAAAGACCTAAGTGTCCTTCTGAATGTAAAGTTGTCCTGTGGGGCCTAAGGGACACAATGTAATACCTCCTTCAGAAGAGACAATCTGCTTGAACTGATTTACAGTTTTGTCCATTTACTCCTCTATAGATTTTAGGGATTTCTAGAGTTTTAAATATTCTCCACACTCTACTAGTTCTTTGTCATATCTTTTTTGGGTGGGAAAGTGGGAAGTTTGTATAAGAGATAGAACCAGGAAACTTAACTACTGATCCACAGCCCCAGTCCTTTTTAATTTTTTATTTGGAGACAGGAACTCACTAAATTGCTAAGGCTGTCTTTGAACTTGCAATCCTCCTGCCTCAGCCTCCTGAGCTGCTACAGTTACAGTCATGCACCCCATGTCGGCCTCCTTGTCATATTTGAAACAATTTGTGGAATAAGTAAATGGGCCATGTACATAACTCAACATTTGTGTTCAGCATTCTGTGCCCTATGGAGGCCTCTGAGGAGCAGCAAAGCACCTTGTATACTCATCTCCACTTAATCAGTAGCAGTACCTGGGTCTAATTGTAGCCTGTATGATATTTTTGGATAGGAACTTTTGCTCCCACAAAGAGATTTAAGTATGTGCACTGCAATGCAGATATGTTTTAACCTTTGCTTGTGTTTCCCTTTTCTCTGCAGGGTGGCATGGAGAAACCATTGTCAAAACCGTGACCTCACTCAGTACATTCAGGGGTGTGGAGTGTAACTGCAAAATTTTCCTTCCTTCTTCAGTTCATTTTGTCACTTTGCCACATTAAGGGACACACTGCCACTAGTGTAATGTGTCACACTACCATTGTTTCCCCTTCAAACAAGTAGCATTTTTACAGAAGCAGGAACAAAATATAGCCTTTCTCCTAAGAGCCATACCTTTCATAATTTGTGTTTTACTTAATAGTAACCCCCCATTTTCAGCTTACTAATAAAGCTAATGGTGGTGAAAACTTACCTACAACCTTGATTATCAAATAATCTACAGTACATTCAGTTTTTATTATAGATATAATCAAGACTTAATCTTAAATGATACGAGTATTTCCCAGTATCAGACAATAATACAACAACAGGCTATCTAAAAACCCATGGAATTTAGGCAAAATCCAAGCTGTATAGCATCTATATAGTCATCTCCAAAAATAGGAAAAATAACCACTCTTTTGGGCAATATAAAATTCTTAGAGGCGTGGAAAGCCCACCCTTAAAAGTGAAGACTGACTGAAGGAAGAATGTGTTTGCACAAAGTGTGTGACCTTCTGTTTAAGAATTTTCATAAAAAAAGTTCCATTTATGCAGCTTTACAAACAGACTCACAATTTATATATCAATCTGTTTTAAGCTTTGAAAGAACACTTACCTGCATCTGACTGATCATGAAGCCATTAAGGAGGGATTAAATGGGCTGTTGCTATTCCCCAATTTTACTAACTTAAATTCATGCATTTCATCTAAATCTGAGACAGATAAGCTTGCATTACTAATTAACCACAGGAGTGAAATTATGCATACTGTAAAAATACAAATGTTATCATTAAATGGTTGCATTGCATATTTTGTCTGTCCTTGTTTAGACCCATTTGGTGTCTGGAGAAAAAAAATCACATATATTAGAAAAAGAGAAAAGAAAGAACTTGGTACTCTTAATGTCTTCTATATCCTCACCTGCACTGAAAGCTGGCAATGGCTGGAGGAAAATCCACAAGCAGGCTAATAAACCTTACTTTGAATCCATAACCATGAGTCTCATATGGCCTCAAGTCATCATGGTCACCTCAGTCACTTCTCTGGATTCTTCCTGTGTTGTCCCGCTCTCCAAAACAACTATGATTATTTCACTTCTCCCATTCTTTGTTGAGAGCCCAACACACACATCTGACACCCTCTCTGCCCCCTAACCTTCCACCATCCTCTGCTCTTAGCAGATAATCTTTGCTTATATATACCATTAAAAAAAATAGTCATTTCAAAGAAGCACTACAAAGTTCTCCCCCTGCCACAAAGCAGCAGTCACACCTTCCCCTTACTGATCCCTCCTTCCCTCCCACTATTTCTGGGATGAAGGGCCTTTGCTCCTGGCAAAGGCAGCATCTCCACAAGCAGCGTCTGTCCCAGGCCTCACAACTCCCACCTAGGCTAAGTTTCTCCCTCTCTGCTCCATCACCTCCATCATTGTGCAAAGGGCCCCAGCATCCTCCCATCCTACAAAGAACATTCCACTGGCCCTACACCACCCTCCAAGTACCACCTCAGCCTCTGCTGTCTATGGTGAGACTTCTAGGGGAGAAGCCCATCCCCACCTCCCATCTCTCTTCAGCTCTTTCCAATCTAGCTTCTGTCTCACTCAGCCATGTCTGCTGCCCTAGGACTTCTCCCATGACCTGGATGCAATTCCAGTGATCATCTGCTCTCTGCTCTTCCTACTTGATCTCTCATCAGCATTTAGCTGAGTGAACCACTTCATATCACTAGAAGCTTTTTCTCTCTCACCTTCTTGCTTACATCCGACTTCATAGGCTGCTCCTTCTCAGTTCCTCTTTCCCACTCTTTCTCTGCTATTTCATTCCTTTTAAAAATATTTTTAGTTGTAGAGGGACACAATACCTTTAATTAATTTATTTATTTTTATGTGGTGCTGAGGATGAAACTCCATGTTTCCCATGTGCTAATCAAGGGCTCTACCACTGAGCCACAGGCCCTCTGCTATTCCCTTACTGAATGTGTGAATGTCCCAGGGCTCAAGCCTATAACCATTTGATGTGCAAAAAATTCTACTTATTCATTTATGGTGTCCCCTCTTGTCCACGATTTTATTCTCCATTGTTTCAGTTATCATGGTCAACTGTGACGCAGAAATATTAAGTGAAAGTTCCAGAATGAAACAATTGATACATTTTGAATTGCATGCCATAGGGAGTAGTGTGATGAAATCTCCCACTGACCTGCTCTGCCCTGTATGGAACATAAGTCTTTCTTTGTTGCACCATCCTTTATTGCCTCCTGATCATTACTCATTTAGTAGCCAACTCAGCTACCAGATTATCTGTGAGAGTATCCAAGTGCTTATGTTCAAGCCCCTTATTTTACTTAATACAGTAATTGTTCTATTTAATTTTTAGTTACTGTTAGTCTACTGTGTCTAATTCATATATTTATAATTTATAAATTAAGATTTGTCATCATTAGCCAATAAAATTAAAAACACAGTACATACAGGGTTCTGTACTGCCTGTGGTTTCAGATAGCCATCTGGGGTTTGGGAATATATCCCTCAGGAATAAGGGACAACTATTGTATTAATATATCCTCAACAAATTACAACTTCAAAAAGGATAGTTTTTCCACTTGTTAAAAGCATTGAATTGGGCTGGTGGGCACAATACCTCAGTGGTAAAGCAGCTTGGCTACCAGGCAGGAGACCCTGGGTTTGATCCCTAGTACCACAATAACAAAGAAAGAGAGACAGACAGAGAGAGAGATGCAGAGAGGGTCTTACTTTCCTCCCTAATCTTCCCATCCTTCTTCCCCTCAGGCTGAGAAGGAAGAGCAAGCTCTGGTCCTGGCCTGATGGAGAACATGAGAGTTGAACTGCTCCACATGGACTGACAACCAGTCTTCCTGTTCATAGCCCTGCCATACACTCCTGCCTCAGAGTTGCCTTAGTCTTTTCTCAGTTCTAGGAAAACAGTCACCTTGCTTTATATTGATATCCCCTTCTACAGCACTCACGTGTCAGCTAGACCCATCATCCTAAATTGCCCTTCACCCTCTGGATTATAAAATTGTACTACATTTCTCATCGTCATCCCTTCTGCTTTTCATGGCCCTTGTTGACTTGTGCCTTTTAAATCTTCTTTGGGTGATATTTTCATGGGATGTGCAAGAAATGTGAGATGGTTCTATCCCATTGAACATTTTAACAATATCATAAATTGTGGCAAATCTTTGCTATAAAGATGACTTAGTTTTGGGGAATAGTCAAAGTCTGTGAGATCCTTCCTCATCTCCTATTTCCCAGTCCTGAAATCCCCAACACTCACCATAATTAATTCTTTTTCCTCAATTGTAAGAAAAAATAAAGACAAAATTCTGAATTGTGAATAATTAATAAATTATTATCTATTGGAATAGGACAAAATTGCCTGGGATCTAAAGACATCTTTTCTGAAAAGACAAGAGACTCATATTTCATCAAATAAAACATGCAGAATATTCAGAACTTCTGGGGAAAAATTCTCTGCCCCCATCATGCCTACTTGCTCTTTTATTTTTAAATAGCTTGCTCATTATTTCAATTGAAATAATAACAGTATTAATTGAATGTTATCATTTCCCTTAACTCCC